TACATTTAATGTTCCTGTTGTTTGTGACCCTCTAACTGTGTCTTATTCACCATTAGTTCCTGCTCCGCAGTCAGCTTCGTCTTCACCGCCTCTTCAGCTTTATAGTTGTAGAAACCAATCACAACCACCACCATGTGACTCCACTCAAGTGCCAACTACTCTGTCTCCTCCGGATCTGACACCTGAGTCTGACCTTCCCATTTCTTTCTGAAAAGGTATTTGTTCTATACGTAATCTCTCACCCCATTATATTGTTTTGAGTTATCATCGATTGTCATTACCTTTTTATACATTTTTTCCTCTATTTCTTCTGTGACCATTCCAAAAATTGTCCGTGAAGTTTTTGCCCATCCTGGTTGGCGTCAAGCCATGTTAGATGAACTAAGTGTTCTTCATAATAGTGGAACTTGGGAATTGGTTCCGTTATCATCTGGGAAATCTGTTGTTGGTTGCAGGTGGGTGTTTGCTCTTAAAGTTGGACCTGATGGTACTATTGATCACCTCAAAGCTCGTCTTGTGGCCAAAGGTTATATTCAAATTTTTGAATTGGATTATGGAGATACCTTTTCCCCCGTGGTAAAGATGGCTTCTGTTCGTTTATTTATCGCCATGGTCGCTCTTCAACAATGACCTCTTTTTCAATTGGATGTTAAAAATACTTTATTCAATGGTGATTTGCAAGAAGAAATCTATATGGAGCAACCTCCTGGGTTTGTTGCTCAGGGGGAGTCTTCCGGGATGGTATGTCATCTTCGCAAATCCCTATATGGCCTAAAATAGTCTCTTAGGCCTAGTTTGGAAAGTTTAGTAAGGTTGTTCAACAATTTTATATGACTTAGTGTGAAATAGATCATTCTGTCTTTTATCGACACTCGAGTGCTAGATGTGTTTACTTGATACTATATGTTGATGACATCGTTCTTAAAGGTAGTGAAAATCATGACATCTCTCAATTGAAACAACATCTGTCACCATTTTCTGACTAAAGATCTTTACAAACTTAAATATTTCTTGGGTATTGAGGTGACACAGTCCAATGATGGTATTATTATATCTCAGAGGAAATATGTCATAGATATTTTAGAGGAGACTGGGTTGATGAGTTCAAAGTCTGTTGATATACCCATGATCCCAATACTAAACTTCTACCAAATCAGGGGGAGCCTATATATGATCCTGAGCAGTATAGAAGATTGGTTGGAAAATTAAATTATCTTATAGTTACTCGTCCTGACATTTCGTTTGCAGTCAGTGTGGTAAGCCAATTTCTTAATTCCCCATGTGAAAATATTTGGAATGTAGTCATTCGTATCTTGAGGTATATTAAAGGATCTCCTGGAAAAGGATTGTTATATGGTTCTAATAACCATACAAGAGTTGTTTGCTACTCAGATGTTGATTGGGCAGGATTTCCTTCGGATAAAAGATCTACATCTGGATATTGTGTCTCCATTGATGGTAACTTGATCTCATGGAAAAGTAAGAAACAAAGTGTTGTGGCAAGATCCAGTGCAGAAGCAAAATATAGAGTTATGGTCTCAGCTGCCTATGAACTTGTTTGACTCAAGCAATTGCTTAGAGAGTTACAATTTGGAGATGTCACTCAAATGACACTTGTGTGTGACAATCAGGCTGTTCTTCATATTAGCTCTAATTTTGTCTTTCATGAGAGGACCAAACACATTGAGATTGACTGTCATTTCATTCGAGAAAAGATTATGTCTGGAGACATCAAGACTGAGTTTGTTAACTCAAATGATCAGGTAACAGATATTTTCACTAAGTCTTTACGGGGGCCTAGAATTGATTATATTTGTAAAAAGCTTGACACATACGATTTGTATGCTCCAACTTGAGGGGAGGGTTAGATATTGTTTGATATTGTTAAGATATTTTTAGATATTGTTAACCACAACATCTTTATTCTGTTTACTTTCGGTTACTCTTTTAGTTGTACCTCTCTCTATTATAAATAGATTACCCTATGTGTGATTTATACACAAGGGAAATTAATCTCAAACCCTATTTCCTTTATATTCAACAATTTTATCGAATTTCATTCTTAATCATATACATAATTTAAATTAATTTTATAATTAATTTAAAATAATTTTATTATAATTTAAATTACACTTTTATTTCATTTAAACAAATTATGTCAGAAAAATTTCAAATTAATTTCCAACTCATATATTTTATTTTATTATAAATTCATATATTTAAATTTTTATATTTTAAATATCATATCTAATTTTAATATTATTTACATCAATTATATTTTGTTCTAAAATATTTATTTTAGACAATGGTAAAATTGTAATTTTACCATTTTATCAATTAAATTTTAATTTTTTAATCTATCAAATCAATTTCATCATTTACAAACTTTCATCTTATTTTCTCTCATTTCTTATCAATTTTCCTTTAATCCAAACAATTTCAAATTCACCTCTCTTTTCCTTCAAATCCACTAACTCATTCATCATCTAATTTAAATATATACACTTAGTCTCATCTTACCCAAGTGTCGGAAAAGTAAATGATATAGAATAAAAAGCATAATATGTATTTATACAATAGTGAGTGAAATTAGATTTTTAATTTTATCTTTTTTAATTTAATTTTTGTAATTTTATTATTCTAACTTTATTTTATTTATTTTTGTCTAACCATCTAACTTATTTATCTTTTATAAATATATTTTTATTTTATTATTTAAATGTAATTAAACAATTTAATTAAACCAAATAAATAATTATATAACATTTTTAAAAATAAAGAAATGGGACGTTACATTCAACATGTCACATTAGTGGTTATAGCGTTCCTCTAGTAGCTTTGTTTTGCAACAACTTAGGAAATGAAAGGTGCAAATCTATGAGTTTAAAATTCAACGCAAGATTTCTTTTTAAAGTTGTGAAGTATTTATGTTGATATTCATTATATATAGTTAGTGTAGTCAATGAGTTATAAAGACAATTGATGTCATCATGAGACTTTTGAATGTTTCGAATGGCTATTGAAATTATATTATGGATTAAATAGCTGGTTATGTAGAAGTTTTAATTAATTATTAGCTTACCTCAAGTTTTTTTTTTGTCTGTTCCTAATTTTAATTATTGTGTTTTTACAAAAGAGTGTAGATGATTTTGGAAGAGATAAATCTTATAAAAAATAAAAATAAAAAATAGAATGAGTTGCAATATAACAAGAGTATAATTTTACATTTGTGATATTCAAAAAATTGGTGAATTAAGTAATAATAGAAAAATTATAATTGTAACTCGTTATCGTGACGTCATCCTGATTTAAAATAATTTTTCAAATATAGTTATCAAAATTAAGGTTTTTTTTAGTTGACTCTCATAAACAGTCTTTCAAATTTATTTTTAAAAATAACAATAAATTTGTTTGAGAAGGAGTAAAAATAATATCTGAAAAATTTAATAAAAAAGGATATATATATATATATATATATATATATATATATATATATATATATATATTATTTATTTATTTTTATCGATTTAAACTTCTTCATGTTAAGAAATTTATCGTATTGAAAGATAAAAGTAAAATTATTTAAAATTTGAAAATTTTCAAGTTACACGTGAAAATTGTTTAGAAGAATTAAAAGAAAAAAAAGTTGTTTAGAGTAATCAACATATAGAATTATTAAAAAAATAAAAATAGTTGTTTATATAAATAATTTTTATTTATTTTAAGTAATTTTATATTTGATATTTATATTAAAAGAATATTTTTTATTTTTTAAAATTCTATTGAATAATTGATATTAGATATGATTTGTTTGTTATCTCTCGATTTTTTTTTAATTTAGTAGTTTAATGACGTAAACATACGGTAAACACTCTTTTTGAATAGCTTAATCGCACTCGTGTTTAATTAATTATTTTTCTATTGACTAATTCATGAAATTTTTTTCACATAATATTTAACAAAAGTGACGTATTATGATGTAATGTTGCGACGTCACCCGCGGTTTACCTAAACTCTTGACTTATAATAAGGTTAAGGTATATGCATACCTAAACTCTTTAAAAATAATAATAATATATTATTATAATTATTTATTTTTTCATCAATCTTATATTATTTATATTTTTTTATTTTTTTAAAATAAAATTATGATAAATTAAAATTTTAAAACAGATAATATTTTAAATATATTAATTAAATTTAATAATAATATTATGACCCACATAAAATGGGACACTTTTAGTTCACAACGGAATAATAAGGAGAAGGAGGAGGTTATATATGTACTTTACTTCTGTTAATTACCTCATTCGTATGTATCTAATTGTAGATGAATATTGAATAAAATGGATGAATTTCATCTCTTCCATCTTTTTTTAATGCTTTTATAATGAATATATTTTCCTATGGATTGAGCATAGAGATGTTGGATAGGTAATTTTTTTGTTTCATGTTAAGGGAAACAAAACTAATGTAAGATTCAAGTGAAATAAAAAAATTAAGAAAAGAAATAAAAAATATATAATGAATAGAATAATATTTTATTTCATTTTTTAAAATAAACCAAGTTAAATTCATCATTTCATTTTTTAAAAACTTAAAGCGGAGAAGTCTTATTTAAAAGAGTAGAAGTAAGTTAATAGAAAGAGTTTATGTGGTCCACTGGTACCAGAAATAGGTGGGACAGAACATTATTTAATTTGAAGAAGTTATAAAAAAAAAAGGAAGACTTTCTTTGACTAAATAGAGAATAGTACAAAGCTATAATTTTGTGGCATGGTGGTAATTTAGATTCCTTAAAAATAATATTGGCCAAAGTTGTTCATGATGGAAAGCCACTATGATGCTGTCCTTATATTCATCTCTTGTAAGCAAGAAGCAACCAAGAAACTGCGTTCCGTCCCCTTGCTTCACAAAACTGCATGCGCCCTCTCTCTGTTTTTTCTCCGAATCTTCCTTTTTACTTCTATTCATTTTTTTATTCTTGCCAGTTTCCGAGCATGGAGATGTGTGCCAGCAGCAGCAAGAAGAGGAAGCTAATTTCCCGCGAAGAGGACGAAGCCAAAATGGAGACGTTCTTCGCTGTGGTGAGAAACATCCGCGAAACACGTGATCGGTGGAAGGGTTTGAAGTCAGGTGACAGAAAGAGCAAGAGGGGTGAGATTATCACGTGGAAGGAAGAAACTAGAGCTGGGGTTTGGAAGCCAACGTTTCAGCTTGAGGATTTCGCTGAGGAAGCTCGGCGACGAAACTCGGTCTCAGACCCTAGAGCGTCTCAGAGGGAAAACTGTGAAAGGAAAGAGGCTGAAGAAAAGGGTATTGATCTGAGTCTTTCCCTTTGAGAAATGGACCCAACCAGCACCTACGTTCTCTTCTTGTGACCATGGCTAGGTCTAGTTGTTGAAATCTCCTCTGAAACCTATGAAGGGATGTTTTATCTCTCTAACTTGTTGTAGATTCGTAGTTGTTAATGTGGTTTTTGCTTTAAGGCTTTTCGATCACCTCTAAGTACTGTATTTAGAACTTCAACTAGGGAATAATAATTGTGCCATTTCAGTTCCATCAATGGCACTGCTTCTGCGGCGAAGGGAAAGAGGGAGGATGGAGATAAAATATAGTATTATTTTATAAATTAAAATTTTGACCATGTACTAAACCAACATTATTTTTTATTTATAAAAAAAATATTTTCTAAACTAACGTCTTTATAATATTATTTATACATTTACTATTATTTATTATTTAGAATTCGGTTATTGGATAACCAAATTTTAAACTATTATTTTTAATTTGTTTTATTTTTTCGATTTGAATTCTGAATTGATTTTTTTAATTTTTTTTAGTTTTTATTTTGTTTTATTAATTTTATAAATAGTTTTTTTTAATTCTAAATATAATATATTTTTAAATTTATAATTATTATTTTAATTTATATAATATATATATATATAATTAATTTGAAGTTCATATATATAATTTTAATTTATGAAATATATATATATATATATATAATTATAATTTACATAATATATATAATTTATTTAACATTAAAAATAGATATATTTTTATTAATTTTATAATTATAATTTTTTTAAGGTTATAATTTTAAATATAACTTTTTTAACTTTATAATTATAATTTATATAATATATATAATTTATAAATAGTTTTTTTTTAATTTTAATTTGATATATATTTTTTATTTGTAATTATTTATATAAATAAGTTACTTTAAATATACATTAAATAATTACAAATAGAAAATATATATCAAATTAAAATTAAAAAATATTTATAAATTATAATTATTATATAAATTATAATTATAAAGTTAAAAAAATTATATTTAGAATTATAACCTTAAAAAAATTATAATTATAAAATTAATAAAAATATATCTATTTTTAATATTAAATAAATTATATATTATATATAAATTATAATTATATATATATATATTACATAAATTAAAATTATATATATGAACTTTAAATTAATTATATATATATATATATATTGCATAAATTAAAATAATAATTATAAACTTAAAAATGTATTATATTTAGAATTAAAAAAATCTATTTATAAAATTAATAAAACTAAACAAACTCAAAAGAAAAATTAGAAAAATCAGTTCAGAATTCGGTTAACTGAGAACTGAATTCTGACTGAAAAAATAACAAAATTAAAAAATGGTAGTTCATAACTGAATTTTAAATTTGGACAGTAGATGATCCTAGATGGGTAAATAATATTGTAGAGATATTATTTTGGGAAATGTTTTTTAAAATAATATTATTTATGAAAAAATGTTTTTTTTATTACTTTTGAAAATTAATTGAAAAATAATTAATTAATAATTGTAATTTAAAAAATGTTAAAAAATAAATATAAAAAAAACAAAATCAAAAAATATTTAAAAAAAAATGAAGTGAAATATAAAAAAAAAGGTATTTTCATTTTGCGGTTTAAACATTTTTAAAAAATATTTATTTTTTACTATAATATACATGTTTTATTCAATAGAAAAGAATGGGTAATATAATATAAATATTATTTTATAAAATTATTCTCATATTATTTATTTTTATGTTTATAGTTTTAATATAAAATATAAAAGAAATTATACAAAATTACATTTTTATTCTTTTAATGATATTATTTATTAATTTAAACTTGAATTATTTATATATATATATATATATATATAATTATATAATAAAAAATTATAATTATATATCAAAATATACATTATTAAAAAACATGATATATTAATTTAAACATGTTAAGTTTGAAACTGTTTTATTCATAAAAAATAATAATTAATATCTCTTTGTAAAAAATGGTAAAGTTTATGTTATTATTGGCCACGAAGTTTGATGATAGGGTATCAAGTTGGATTGAGAATATCAATGAATCAGATTTAGAGTTGTATCTTCAAGATGATTTGAGAGTACCATTAAAATAATTTTTTTGAAAATAACAAGATCACCTAAATAAACACTTTTATGTTGAAATAAGCTTTTAGATAAAAATATTTAATAATAAATGATAAGTAAGATTTACTTTCTAGTTAAATCTTACAAAAAGATAATAATAATAATAATAATAATAATAATAATAATAATAATAATAATAATTTAAAAAACAATAATTAATATCTCAAAAGATAATAATTAATATAAAATATTAACATGTAAAAATAATTAATAAGATAATATATAATAAATAAAATAATTTTAATAGATTTAGATAAAAAATTATTTTAAGTTTATAGAATTTATTTATAAAAGAGATTAAATATTTTTAAAATAAATATAATATTAAAATTTACCAAATATTATTTATGAGTAAATTGATTATATATTAAAACAATATTCTCAAGGACATCTTGCTTTGAAAGCAAGACAAATTATTTTTTTACACCTCTCATGTTTTCCGACGCGTTTTAATTTGACAAACTCACGCCTTTGACCTCACGTCCTATTAACTTGCCAATAAGCACGTTTGCATCAGATTGTATATAGAAGAAAAATATCTCAACATTGTTTAAAACAGAGAAAGTTAGAGGAGCTTTTGAGAACTTTCGTACTGAAAAGTTTTATATTTTCAGTAAAACAAATTAATCTATATTCAAATGCATTATATTCATATTTTTACAATTTATATTGGTTCATATAATTTTAAATATTAACCAATCTAACGAGTGACTTATTGACCTAATAATAATCTTATTAAATATAATAATATTTGATCAAACTGCTTACAAATTTTATTAGGAAGTCTAAGGAAAATGTTATACATTTTGTGAACTCGTGATTTTTTTTTCAATATGTGGAGTTTAACTTTTATATATATATATATACAAACACGAGTATTTTTAACCAATTTTTTTATAATATACTTCACCGGTTTTTAAATAAGCTCACGATGATTTTTTTCTTCATTTTTATTAATTTGTTTAAAATATATTTTTACCATTTTAAATTTTAAAAATAAACTAATTAAATATGTTTTTCATTTTATACTTTTAAACTAATTTTCTTACTAATTTTATTAAATACTTCTACTTCAATCCATTAGCTTATAGATGTTCAATAACTTGTAAATTTTTTGCAACTTAAAAGTGTTTAACTAGTTGTAACAATCACATATTTTTAATAATGGAATCGATCCCAATGGGTCACATATCGATTTTAGTATATGTCAGGTTGTTCTCCTATCACATCCTATTTTTGAACTTAAATTAAAATATAATAATTTAAAATTATAGAAACTAAAATTTAAATAAAAAAAAATTATGAAGTTCTAAAATTTAAAATATAAAAAATGAAGATTTGATTATAATACAGTAAACAAAATGATCTCATATCATATCCTTTTTCTCTACACGTTCAACTAAAATCATATTTATATTTTTTGTTTTGGTACATATTAACAAGTCTCATCAAATCATTGAGCGTAATGAATAAGAAGTATCAGATCATTAAGAATTCCAAAACGAAAAATATTTCTAAAACGGAAAATATCTCATTAACATAACGCGGGAACGCTCTTATTCCAACATTTCTTCTTCTTATTCAGAAAAAACGTGAGTAGCAATGAATAAAATTTTTTGGAAAATGACATCGAAGAATCACGTCATATAATGCTGTCATGCGTGAGTCAGCGTGACACGTGTTAAGAAGTTGTTAAGATTCTTTGATGCGTCAATTTCACGCTTCACACCTAATGCAATGTAGTGTGGTCCAGGATTTCAATATCACGTTGTACCTACCACTGTCCAACCATTTAAGATAATTTTTTTCTTCCATGGCATAGATGATCGTGCAAATAATTATAAATATTTTCTTGCTAGTTAAAATCATAGATGGCTAGTATGACCTCAACCATTCTACAAAACATTTCACCTATAATATCTTTGGCTACAAATTTAGAGTTTTCGAATATCTTGCTATTATTTGATATATCTGAAATCACTCAAAATATTTCTCATAAATCTAATAAAATATAAATAAAATATTTGGAAGACAATTACATGACCTTGTAAATATTTATTTTTATTGATTAATTATTTATATTTTTATCTATTTACATTTATTACTAACTTAAGCATAAAAGACCTTCTACAGATAGTTTGTCCTTATTCTTAACCTACTAAAAAAATTATAAAAAATTTATATAATCCTTCAAAATCTACGTACTAATAATAATAATAATTATTATTATTATTATTAACACAATTATACACATATTCTTATTTTTATAAATAATTACTTCAATTTATTAAATAAACACTTTACTCAACCTAATGAACTAATGATCAAAACACACTAACAATTCTTTACACTGAAAGCAAAGCTTAACAACCTTGATACCATGTTACTTATATTTTTTAAGAGTGAAACACTTGGTTAAGTTCACACATGAAATTATAGTAGTTTTCCTTCATCAACCATATAATACTCACATGATCCAAATTCTAATTCATTTTCAATTGTATAATTTCTATTTGTGAATAAGGTTATTTTTATCTATTATTAGGCTTCTTATGTTATGTGCAGAGACACAAATGTATTGGTTTTATATTTGTTATGATAATATCGTTATGATAAATTTTCACATTTGAGATATTGTCCATTTTAAAACTTTCGTTCAATACAGTTTTGTCCTTAAAATGCGTCTTGGTGAGTTAAAAAATGATTATGTATATAAACTACCTTTAACCTCGACTCCTAAGCAATGTGAAACCCATGAACATACCAGAACATAAGCTTTTAGTCGAATACTAAGGAATATGCATGGGTGGAACAATATTCTACTTTTATCTATTATGTTATTGAAAATACTTGAAATAGATAATAGGAAAATAAAAAGATATTTTTGTGAGAATATCCTTTTCTCTTGTGTTATCTTATTTATAGAAGATAAAGATACAGATTATGAGATACAGTAAATAGGGGGAAATGATTAAACCTAGAAAAGATAAACATATACATTCTAGGAACTAGGTCAATAGTTTGATACAACTAATCTAATAAATACTCAACACTCCTCACACTCCCTTTCAAGCTGGAGCATACAAATTGTATGTACCAAGCTTGGAACAAATGAATTCCATTTGAGGCCCTCTCAAAGATTTGGTTAATGCGTTTGCAAACTGATTATTGGAACCAACAAACTCGGTACAAATTTCTTTAGATAACAACTTTTCATGAACAAAGTGACAGTCAATCTCAATATGTTTAGTCCTCTAATGAAATACTGAGTTGGAAGCAATGTGGAGAACAACTTGATTATCACCATACATTTTCATAGGTTGAATCTCACAGAAGTTCAGTTCTTGCAAGACTGTTTTACGCATACAAGTTCACAAGTGAGAGATGTCATTGCCCTATATTCAGCTTCAGTAGAGGATCGAGCAACAACATTTTGCTTTTTGTTTTTCTATGAAATGATATTACCTCCAAGGAAAACACAATAGCCTATAGTGGATCGTGTGTCCATAGGAGATCCAATCCAGTCAGCATCACAGTACCCAAAATTTTGGGTATTTCTCTTATCTTCATATAAGAAACCATGTCCTGGAGCTCTTTTAATGTATCTTAGGATTCAAATGATAGCATTCTAATGATCAACACAAGGAGCTTGCATAAATTAACTGACAACACCAACTACAAACGATAAATAAGGTCTAGTAATAGTCAGATAGATAAGTTTCTAACCAGTCTTATATATCTTTCTGGGTCAGAGAAAGCTTCACCTTATCCTGACATTAATTTTAAATTTTGATTCATAGGGTTATCCACAGGTTTGCAATCAATCATACCTGTCTCTTTTAGAATATCTAGAGCATATTTCCTTTGAGAAATGAAAACACCTTCTCTTGATTGAGTCACTTCAATACCTAAGAAATATTTTAGATTTCCAATGTCCTTTGTCTGAAAATGACTACACAAGTACTCTTTTAGCTAAATATTCTATCAACATCATTCCCTGTGATGACAATATTATCAATATACACAATTAATAATAAACATGTTTGCTAGGGGCAGTGTGACAATAAAACACTAAATGATCTGCTTTGCTTCATTTTAATTCAAAAGCTTGAACAACAAAGTTGAATTTTAAAATTACATAAAAAAATTATATAATAATAAATAAATAAATAAGATATTTATTTAAAATTATGTCCTTCGTTCTTTTAAATGTTTGAACTCATCAATAATGGAATTAGAACTAAAATTTTCAACTATTTCTTTTTCAATATAAATGATCATATTATCTGCAAGAATTTTATCTTCCATTCTATTTTGAAGTCTTGTTTTAATAATCTTCATTGTAGAAAATGATCTCTCAGTTATAGTCGTAGAAACGAGGAAGAGTTAAAATAAGACGAATTAAATTATTTATTAAGTAAAATGTACCTGACTTCCCTGTTTTTGTCAAAGATTAACATAATTCAAGCATGGTAGACAAATTCTTCAAATCTGGATGGTTAGGAGCATCAAGTATAAAATGATGAAGTCGAAATTTTAAATTAATCTTCTCTTGTTTACTAAAATCCAAAGGATAAAATTTATTCACAAGTGTGCATACATGACAAATGTTAAAATTTTATAAACATCATTTGGAATTAAAGCATTGCTTAAAGTTAAAAGTTCCATTGTATTTTCACTAAACCTATCATTTAATTGTTGTAATTGTTTATCCATTGTAATACAAAATATGTTCACCCTAAAATGATGTTCTATTGTAATACAATCTTTTTGATGTCAAGAACGATCATGACGTATTACATAGGTAGAATTAAAATTAGGAATATCAATGTCACATTACTCACAAAACAATATCACATCTTTCAACAAAATCTTGCCAACCCTCCTCTCTTAATTTTTGAATCAAAATTTTAGTTGAATAGACTAACTACATAACATTATGTATATCCTGAGATTGTTTCTGTAAAGCTTGACAAAGACAATCAGTAATTCCCATAATTTCTTTTATCATGTGTAAAATCAATATGAACTTCAACTCCGACAAAATATTATAAGCAGTATCAGCATCACCCCTTTAAGAATAAGTTGAACCACCAATTACAATTTTTTTGTTAACTAAACAAGATGCACTATACAATTTCATCATATTACAAATGGAATGAACATGTGAACTTTAACTAGTATCACCAATTCGTTTTAAAGTGCCAATTTGATTTTTTCCTTTATCGGTTAAGTTCACCAAGTTCTAACAATTTGGTTATTTCATCTAATTCTTTACTTTGTAACTCATCATGACGTTTACTAGATAAACAAACAATATTTATAATAAAAGCCAAATTTGAAAAAAAATTGATGAACTGGGATAACTTCTCTTGAAGCAGCAACCAAAACAAATTGTAATTTATGAACAAAATAATGTACATAATAAGCATAAGGATTATCATGAAGAAATAATGCTTGCAATCCATTCCATTCTCCCCTCATATTACTAGCACCATCATATCATTGCCCACGAATATTGGAAACATCAAGATTATGTCTAGAGAGAACAACACATAATTCTCTTTTAAGAGTAGCAGCTGTAGTATCCTTAACATGCAAAATATAAAAAAAAAACGTTCTTTAATACTACCCATTTTATTTACAAATCTCAAAACAACAATTATTTGTTCTCTTCTAGATTCATCACGAGCTTCATCAACAATTATACAAAATTTTGAGTCACCAATTTCTTCACGAATATAATTTCTTTTCTAGAAAAAATTTTCAAAATTTCCTTTTGAATATGATGAGAAGTATATTTTGAATTATAAGGAGAATTTTCTAACACAACTTGTGCTACTTTATCATTGTATAATGCTAAAAGTTTAATCATCTGAAGAAAGTTACCTTATTACTTGAATCTGGAGTTTCATCATGGCCTCTAAATGCACAAATTTGAAATGCTAGCCACAAATTGTATCAATAGAAGTTTTAAGAAGTAAACGGTTTTTGCAAACTTCTTTTGAATTTTGCATATTTATAATGTTGTCAATGTGCTTAGATTGATTTAATAAGTCTGGACATGCTTTCATTGCATTGTTATGTGGTGAACAAAGACTATCTCCAATGTGACTAAGAAACGCACAATTCTTTCTTGAATTAATCTTTTTCCATAATCTAAATCCTTGTCTAATAAACACATCTGTCTCAGAACAACCATTTGACAGTGTACTAAATAGATAACATGACAAACAATAAGCTCCATCACTAGTTGGAGAATACTCTAGCCAAGAAGGAAACATTTTAAACCAACCATATTGAAATCTCCTAGGATGTTTCTCTTTAGAAAAAAAAGATAGTTTTTAAGTTGTATTTGATATGGACCCAAATTTAAATAAGCTCTTCTAATTTCATCTATTTGATTAATAGGATATTCATGTATCTAAAGACGTTTTCTTAGGTCACGTTCCAAAGAATTAATATTAAATTCATTGATTTTAATTATATAAATATTAGAAAGAGGTTCTTCTAATTGAATAATTAGATCATTAATATCATGCTTTGAAACAATAGAAAATGTTGAATTTGTTTGGTTTTTATCTCTACAAGTATCTCTTTTATCACTTTTAAAAAATGAATCTATTCTTTTATGCTTCATATCTAAAAAAAATAAATCTATTATTATTTTTCTAATTATAGAATCATAAAAATTTATAAAAAACAAAAATATTTTTCTCAAACAACAAATGTTCCTCAACAAAAATTAAAATAACAAACAATAATATAATAAACAATGTGAAAAGATGAAGAAAAAGTACATTTGTCAATCAATATAATTTCAAGGATGAAATATGAGGAGAGAGGAAGAAAGACAAATAATGAATTTGAAAGTACAAACTATAAAAATAATTTAATACTAATAAATCAATATTACCATTAGTGAAAGAATATAAAAAGGTGAGAGAAGATGAAGATCTACTTTTAATATTTCTTATTTAATATATTCCTTAGAAATTATAGAAGCAATTAAATACTAATAAAATATTATCATTAATGAGAGAGTATGAAAAAGTGAGAGAAGATAGAAATGTCATATAATAAAATTATTTTTAATCTTTCTTATTTAATTTATTTCTTTAATTTTTTTATGATATATTTAATATTGGGGTCAAAATCATAGATATATAAGTAAGTTACAAAACTTTGGGGGTCATGTCCCCCTTAACTACTATGAAGATCCGCCACTGGTAACTAGTGCCCTAATGATACTATTTAAGAAAAATTAAAATTAGAGCTAGTCCTATTTATTTTATTTTAAAAAAGTGTTAATTAAATATAACAATTAAAATACAAAAGTTGTGTTAAAAAGAAAAAATAAATTAACCTACGCTTATTCATTTTACCATCACTTTTTCTTTTCCCAAACTATGTGTTAGAAGGAGCGTTATGTGTGTTATTTTTAACCTTTTATTTAGTTACCATGACTTTTTTTAGTTAAAGTGAACTTATTTTTAACCTTTTTTTTTTTTACTCTGTTGCTATTCTTTTTCCTGTGTCAGATCTTTTTTTCTTTTTCAGGCGGGGTGTATCTATTGTGAGCATATAATTTAATTTCATGAATTGTATTATTATAAATTTTAAAGTTTTATTATATAGTTGCTATCGGTCTAATTTAACTTTATAAATTTGTTTTGTGAAATAAAGTTTTTGTTATATATATATATATATATATATATATATATATATATATTAATTTAGTCAATTTTAAAAAAATTGATATGATATTAAAAATAATATATATATATTATTTAATCTTAGAAAATTTATAAAATAAGATTTATATTTTAACTATATATTTATATTTATATAATTGGTTTAGGGTAGAAATTAGTGTTAAATAATTGGTTGTTTTGGTTGTTAGATAAGAATGGGTTAGTGGTGAACAAAACATGTTTGAAAAAGTTACATATCTCCTTTAGGTTGTTCATTGTATTTGTATATGGTTTAGAAATGACAATAGATAAAATAAATTTAGTCATTATTCATTTTGTCGAAAATCTGTTTAAAATAAATTTAAAAGTTTTTTTTTATATCATTAGATATTCATGTATATATGTAGAAATTTTAACTTTTATTTTAAATAAAATTATTATTTGTTAAATATATATTTTAATAATATTTTTTTTCATCAGAATATTGTTGTCTCCCATTTAATTAATCTATTAAGATGTAGTCTCGCATTAAACACACAGAGTAGAGTTAAAAAGAAAGAAAAAAAAAAGAAATAATATGGTTTAATAGAATACCAAAAATAATTAAAAGTCAAGGGTGTACTGGAGCTAGTGTAGAAAGTCGAAAATGGTGACGTATGACACAGGCGTGTCTTACGAATGCAGCGAAAGCAGGGATAAACGACGTCATAAGAGTGACGTCATCAACACTTTTTATATAAAACGGCAAACGACGTAGAATTGTGAAACACGGCATTCCTTTCCCGACAATACTCACAAACACGAGACTCTTACTCACCACCGTCATCCCCACTAATAAGAAACCACACCCACTCTCGCACGCCCAACCTTAAACCGCTCTCCTCTCTTCTTTTCGTTCATTTGGATTTGTTTTTCTCTCTGTTTTGCTATGGAAAATGAGAAAAGAGAGGTGAGGGACGATCACCACCATCACGATGACGACGACAACGATGAGACGAAGATGGAGAAGTTTTACGCGCTCTTGAGGAGCTTCCGCCACGCACGTGATCGGCGGCGAAGGGAATTGGTTGAGTTGGAGAACAACGAGAGCAGCCGGAAAAAGATGAAGGCCGCTGCTACATCGACCAAGGCCAAGCAAGAAGTTGCTTTCGAATTCCAGGACTTTACCACCGATATTCACTTCAGAAAACCACCTTTGGTTTTTCCGAATCCAATTTCATGCGACACAACCAATGACATCAACAAAGGGAAGAAGAACAAAGAAAAACAGGATCTTGCTCTCGACCTCAAACTCGCTCTCTAACCACGCGCTTTCAACCGTCGCCTCCACCAGCAACCTTTTGAGTTTTTTTTTGTTTTTTTTTAAGTGGCCGCTTATATTTATTATTATTAAACTCTCATCATTAAAAAAAAAAACTTAAAGATGTATGGAAAATGATTCAACCGTGGAACATTGTATCCCTTTCTTAATCTTAGTAGGTGACTCCTCTACTGTTTGTTTGAATTGTAAAATAAAGAATGTGTAATTTTTTAATTATTAACTTGAAAAAGGCTCTACTCGTGTTACCTTGGAATGTTTGGTTGGAAGAGTGAGAACAGAAAGGAAGAATAATTTAAGTTTATCAACTTTTTAAAATTATGAATCTAATAATTGAAATTGAATTTATTTGATTTGGTTTTGTTTGGGTAAATTATAAATAATTTATATATATATATATATATATATATATATATATATATATATATATTAAGAAACACTTATTCAAAATATCATAAAATTTTAAATCAAATAATACGTAGACATGAAAGTTAACTCTAATTATATTGTCATAACTATCATATAGACAAAATATTCTTGATAAATGATTAAATCCATCTTGGATTATTAGATTGGTCCAATTCAAGTAAAATTATTGAACTTTTTAAATTAAATAATTTTAATTTTAACATATTTATATTTATTTTATTATTTCTCACATTATTTTTCATCTCATCATTGATATCATCTAAGAATGTAAATTAAACTGGTCCCGTTAATATCATCTAAGAATGTCAATTAAACTCGTCCCTCGTTCGAGTTTAATGGAGAAAAACTAAGTTGATCGAAGTGGAGTGAGTACTGTAATTCCCACCCTATCTCCGGTTTCGTCCTCGTCTCTACCCTAATTTTATATTTAAATTTAAAATTTAAAATATTAATATTTTAAAAGTATTTTTTTTTCATTACACATAAGGTCATTTTTGTTATATTTCACTATTTTCACTTTTCTTTTACCCACCTTTTAATCCTTTTGTTTTTTTAATCTTTTATATCAATTAGTTCATAATATTATTCTTTTTCTTTTATCTTTCACTTTTTTTACATTTTCTTAATCTATCCAATAATTTTTTTAATCTTTTCAACCAATTTGACAAATACAAAGTTAATTTTTCTTTTTTTTATCCTTTTCTAAATATTTTACATAAATCTTAGTAATAACTAATATTATTTATAATTTATCTTTATTAGGTTATATTATGTTATATATTTTTTAATCTTATTATTCTTATTTGTCACATATCAAATTTTATCTGAATAAAATAATTGTATTTTAAAAAATTAAAAATAATTGATAATTTAAACTTTTGTTATTTTAAACTAATTAATTAAGAATTAGTTTATTAAATATTTTCTTATAAACTATATATTTTATATTTTTAAATAATAATTTAAAAAAGAATTAAATTATATATATAATTAAATATTTGAATAATGTATAATAATAATAATAATAATAATAATAATATAAGTGTTTTATATTTATATTAAAAAAAATTTAAATATTTTTTTACATACATATTTTAATATAAATATAATAAATTAAAAAATATATTTAATTAATAATAATTATAAATTATAAAGTTATAAATCTAATCCAGCGGGGGAAGAAAAAACCTAATATGACCTTATAAAAGCTCATACCATCTGATGAGATTTGATCTTTGGCTAATTAAATTCATTTATAAAACTATTGATTAAAAAATGCAAGAAAATAACCAATCATTAGTGATTGTTTTGCTGAAAATAAAATAAAGAGAAGTAACACCAACCAATCAATTGTCAAACCTAAATATTTTAGTGGATGTGTTAGAAGCCTGCAGAATATACGCATATCTTAAAGAAAACCACATTAAATTAGAATGATTATATATATTTATATATAATTTTACTTTAGAATATAACAAAAAAATCAATTATGATGCAAGTACTGCTTTTTTTAGGGTTAATTAACTGTATATTTCTCCCTATGCTTTACAAAATATAGGTAATTGTTTTTGTTAATTTTTAGTTCTCCGTATCATTTTTCCAAATGGTAGTTACCAATTTGATAATGATTTAATATATTTATAAAATTAAAAACTGTAAAAATTTACAAGTATTTTAAAAAGTAAGAGATCAAAATTATGAAAAAGAAATTCAGGGACCAAAATTACAAATAATTAAGAAGCAAGGAATTCAAATTGCATAAAAAGTATAAGAACTAAAATTGTAAGTTTTGAAAAATATAGGATCAAATTTATAATTAAGTCTTTCCTTCAATCGAAAAGTGACAATAATGTATAATAACACTATTTGTATAACTTTTTCCTATAATATAGTAAGTAAATAATACTACTACTATAATAAATCATAATGTTTAAATTTTATATTAAAAATTATTTTTTTATTTACTTTTCTTGTTTTTTTTTATCAAATAGTATTTATTTTCATTTTATTTCTTTCTTATTCCTACCTTATTTCTTTTCTTTTATCTCAATCAAAACAAAAGTGAACGAAAAAAGGAAAAAAAAACTCAAGCACTATCAATTAGAATAATTCAATTATGATAGGATTTAATGATAATATAATTAATTTTATTTTGTTATTTATGCACAATTATGTACAACATTTATAAGGAGAATATTTGGTTGATTTTCAGGGATAGATTAGTGTATAAGTTTATTACCTTGTGTTGAATATAGAGAAAATAGGGTTTGGAATTAATTTCCCTTGTGTATAAATCACACATAGGGTGATCTATTTATAGTAGAGAGATACAACTAAAAGAGTAACTGAAAGTAACATAATAAATAGAATATATTGTTTGATATTGTGGTTACCAATATCTAACAATATCTTAACAATATCAAATAATATCTAAACAATATCTAACACTCCCCCTCAAGCTGGAGCATACAAATCGTATGTGCCAAGCTTGTTACAAATATAATCAATTCTAGGACCCCGTAAAGATTTAGTAAAAATATCTGTTAACTGATCACTTGAGTTAACAAACTTAGTCTTGATATCTCCAGACATAATCTTTTCTCGAATAAAATGACAGTCAATCTCAATGTGTTTGGTCATCTCATGAAAGACAGGATTAGAACTAATATGAAGAGCAACCTGATTGTCACACACAAGTGTCATTTGAGTGACATCTCCAAATTGTAACTCTCTAAGCAATTGCTTAAGCCAAACAAGTTCACAGGAAACTGAGGCCATAGCTCTATATTATGCTTCTGCACTGGATCTTGCCACAACACTTTGTTTCTTACTTTTCCATGAGATCAAGTTACCACTAATGGAGACACAATATCCAGATGTAGATCTTCTATCCGAAGGAGATCCTACCCAATCAGCATCTGAGTAGCAAACAACTCTTATATGGTTATTAGAACCATATAACAATCCTTTTCCAGGAGATCCTTTGATATACTTCAAAATACGAATGACTGCATTCCAATGATCTTCACATGGTGAATTAAGAAATTGACTTACCACACCGATCGCAAAGGAAATGTCGGGACGAGTAACTCGTAAGATAATTCAATTTTCCAACCAATCTTCTATACCGCTCGAGGATCGGATATAGGCTCCCCCGATTTGGTAGAAGTTTAGTATTGGGATCCATGGGTGTATCAACAGACTTTGAACTCATCAACCCAGTTTCCTCCAAAATATCTATGGCATACTTCCTCTGAGATATAACAATACCCTCATTGGACTGTGCCACCTCAATACCCAAGAAATATCTAAGTTTGCCAAGATCTTTGGTCTGAAAATGGTGACAGAGATGTTGTTTCAACTGAGAGATGCCATGGTTGTCACTACCTGTAAGAACGATGTCATCAACATATACTATCAAGTAAACACATCCAGCACTCGAGTGTCGATAAAAGACAGAATGATCTGATTCACACCGAGTCATACCAAATTGTTGAACAACCTTGCTAAACTTTCCAAACCAAGCCCTAAGAGACTGTTTTAGGCCATATAGGGATTTGCGAAGACGACATACCATCCCAGAAGACTCCCCCTGAGAAACAAACCCAGGAGGTTGTTCCATATATATTTCTTCTTGCAAATCACGATTGAGAAAAGAATTTTTAATATCCAGTTGATAAAGAGGCCATTGTTGAAGAGCAGCCATGGCGATAAATAAACAAACAGAAGCCATCTTTGCCACAGGGGAAAAGGTATCTGCATAATCCAACCCAAAAATTTGAGTATAAGCTTTGGCCACAAGACGAGCTTTGAGGCGATCGATAGTACCATCAGGTCCAACTTTGATAGCAAACACCCACCTGCAACCAACAACAGATTTCTCAGACGGTAACAGGACCAATTCCCAAGTTCCACTATTATGAAGAGCACTTAGTTCATCTAACATTGCCTGACACCAACCAGGATGGGCTAAAGCTTCAGGGACAGTTTTTGGAATGGTCACAGAAGAAATAGAGGAAAGACATGTATAAAAAGGTAATGACAGTCGATGATAACTCAAAGCAATATAATGGGGAGAGGGATTACGTGTAGAACGAATACCTTTTCGGAGGGCAATGGGAAGGTCAGACTCATGTGTCAGATCCGGAGGAGACAGAGTAGTTGACACTTGAGTAGAGTCACATGGTGGTGGTTGTGATTGGTTTCGAGAACTATAAATCTGAAGAGGCAGTGAAGAAGAAGCTGACTGCGGAGCAGGAACTAATGATGAAGAAGACACAGTTAGAGGGTCACAAACAACAGGAACATTAAATGTATTAGGAGTGTTGACAGGATTGGATGGAGACAGAGGTGAAGATTGACTTTTAAAATAAAGAGACAACTCATCAAAGGTGACATCTTTTGACACAAAATAACGATTAAGAGAAGGAGAAAAACATTTGTATCCTTTTTGTGATCTTGTAAACCCTAAGAAAACACATTTATGTGATCTAGGAGAAAGCTTGTCAAGACCAGAACTGAAATTATGAACAAAACATGTAGACCCGAAAACTTTC